GCAAGAAGTATGCTCCTACAGGCAATGTAGCAACCTTTGCTTATCTTCAACGTGTAGGTTAACTTCTCCCTCTTGCAGTGATCTACCTCCATTTAGTTTCTCCATATTTGTATAAATATGAGATCCACATCTGGTATATATAATACCTGTGAAGCTAATGAAATAGATATAGCCTTGCAATAATTTTTTTCCAATGACCTTTCATTCTATAATGAAGACAAGAGTCATTAAATTTGCTGTTGTCATTTCGCTTAGACTGTCTTAACCATATTGGATGCTTTCACAAAGCCCCTTTAGACTTCCTCTTAATACCTTTAGAGGAATTGATGGCTTGCCCACTTCTAACTTTATTATTGGGCATAACAGTCCTAAACATGTTAAGCAACTTAATGAGTATATATTCGAGTTTATTCATATCATAATTCATAATTAGTTGCTAAAACCTCTTTGCGACAGAGATTGCAAAACAAAGTCCATACTTAGTTCATGGTTCATGATTGAACTTAATTGAGACACTTCTCAACGTCAATCACTTTCAGTACCTTTGCACTGACTGAAGATCGCTCTGTCATTTTGCATCGGTATAGTTGCTTGGAAGTCTCATATCCTTTCACACATGATTATTATCATACAACTCTTTGTAATGAAAAATTATGTGATAACATCTATACTCTCAAGTTGCTTTTGTAACTCAGGTGACATAGTTGCAGGTATCACATACGTTGCAGTACTATTGTTATCATTGCGTTTATTATAGCAGCCACCTCTTCCTTAATCGAGTCATCACCAGGTGTCTCTGGAAAATGGTTACTTAAGGACAACCAACTTTCTCATAGTTGAGAACAATTCTCAAATTGCAGTGCCAATCAAAAAGATTCAGTTTAGTTGTTGGCATCCAATAGGCCATTCAAAACATATGGTTACTCAGGATTCAATATAAATGTAAATGACGAAAAGGAAAAGAGTAATATATAAAATGCATCAATTAATTTAACATGGACTTTTATTAAATTAATTATGCTCCCACTGTTTAATTAAAATTTATGACCCTCTTACATAAATTTATGGAGTCCATACTTGACTCCTAGTGGGCTGGGATCCCATATATTATATTAAGACCTTGAGTGTACTCAACAAGCCCTAATATAACATTTGGGTAAATACTATTATCAATTGTATCTCCATACAACTCCCAGATCATTAAGCTGACAATTCTTTGTTTTCACACATCTTATGTGTTAGATTAACATGCCTCTAAAATTTATCTCCTTGAGTGTACTCAAC